TCCCAATCCAACACTATGCTGACTGCCACTGCCTCCTCCTTCTCCCTTCTGCTCTTAATCTTTGTTGTTGTGTGTCTTCAGGGTATTTTCGACATGGCATCCCTAAGGTAAACTGATCATGGAGTTTTCTTTAAAAGATTTGTTTTGGGGTGGAGGTGTTCCTATTCCCTCTTTCTGAGGTTGAGTGTGTGAGGCTTGCCCAAGGCTAACAAATCTGTGGCCCACATGCTTCAAGAAAACAAAACAAATCACCTGCAAAGAATTTTAAAATATATATTTTTGGATTACAGCTTCCAGAATCCACAACTATTGCAGGATTCTGCAAGTTGCAGACCCTACCCAAAAGAATGTTTCCCAGTTGCACATCCAACCTCCGCACACACCAACCTGCTAGGTCACAGAGTTCTGTATCTGTAGCACTTGTCAATGCTTCCTCCAGTTCTGGATCAAGAGTCACCTTTTCTTCCATGTAAGTTGGTACTGGTTTCTGTTTGGGAATAAAGACTTTCCCTGTTTAACAAACAAAGAGAGAAAGAAAAGAAACCTATTACAGAGATATCTGTGGTTAGCTGTGAAGGACTTACAAGATTAGTCCACCATTCTGACATCACAACAACTGGCACTATGGGTTTTTCAATAGGAAAATAAAAGTTTGTTTTGTTTTAAGAAACAGTGGAAAACACCAATCCCTTAGGTAAACCTAAAACCTTTGGATCCCAGCCTATATTATCATTAGCATTTCCACACATCATAAAAAAAAGGGATTCTAAAACAACTGACTGAACCTGCCTGGCAGGTAGATAAAATCTAAATTAATGGGCCAAGTCGAATGATTAATATTCACCTTTATGCTAAGGAAGATATACATGTACCCATCCCAATAATTTGGGTTCCTTCTTTGATGCAAATAAGCATCAGTGTTTCAGGTTCATTTTAAAATGCAGTCAGCAAATGTGGATGGCAACCCATAATAGTGCTTCAGGGCCACTGGTTGAAGTCTGATCACAATATGTGAATCATTGGCAGTTTCCCTACTACAGCATGATGAATAATGCAGCAGGTGGCACTCCCATTCCAATCTGCTCCTTTGTACACAATCCAACATCCACAGGAACAACTGTGGTTCTGAATATATTGTGTTTTATACAAAATTTTTATGATATTTTTCCTTGCTGTTCTTAAATGACTCTACTGCCAGGCAATAAGCAGGATAATACTGAATTCCTGAGCCTAAAGTGAGAACAAAAACCTATATAACTGGAAAGATGTAAAAGATGCAAGCCACTCTATGCAATATGAAGAACCAAGGTAGCAGGACAGAGATATGTGCATGATCATAGGGAACAAAGTATTTGTCCTCCTCAGAAATATAAATGGGAAAGTTTTTTTAACCCTCATTCCTAATAGTTGGAAGTGATTAATCCATTTATTCTTTCCTGTGCAATCTGAGGAAGCAATAGATTCATATTATTCTCCTCAACAAAAAAAGGTACAGTTTATTAGAGGAAAAACAGTGCTGAAAATAAGTTGCATAAAGTACATGATAAATAATAGAATCATAAGAGTTGGATGAGACCACAAGGGTCATCCAGTCCAATCCCCTGACATGCAGGAATACACAATCAAGGCACCCCCCAACAGTGAATGACAATTTAATGGCTAGCAATAAACACAAGCTTCAAAAACCCTGTGGGGAAACAGGAACAGGAACATAGCAAGGATAAGATCACAATAGACTATTTATACACATGTAAATATACATTAGGAATACTGAAACAATCGAATCATGGAAAAATTCATACATAAACAATGAATCCATAATTCAAACCATAAATTAAATCACACTGTGTTAATTAATGCATAAATAATTACATGGAAGGCCTCCAAAACCAGGTGGAGAGGACAATGAAAATGCCAACAATTATTACAGTCTTCAAAAATACCCATATTATTCACAGACACTTTGGCTGGTATATATTCAGTTGCAAAGATGAGACTCCTGCAGAATGGTTTGCAGAAGTAATGTCACATTCACAGGACCTTTTGCATCAAATCCAAGAGCATAGATCCCAGCAAAAGAGCAAGGAGAAGATACCAGCAGTACGGAAGATCCCCGGAATCTTTCTGTTTCACCAGCAAAAGCTTCCTCAGCTAAATTATGTTATATATAAAATATAAAACACTGTAAATCTGCCAGGATGTATAATAATGAAACCTTACAAAGTAAGGTAAATCGTACTAACATATTATAAAGGTAAAATACAAATTCCAAGCAGCCTATGTTTTCATTGTGTGGATTTCTCCAAAACTTTACTGTAAACCAGCCCTCTGTAACTAAATACTGTGTTTAATATAAATCTCCTGTATAAGCTGAGGCAAAGGGAGAATACTGACCTACTTATTGCAGATTACACAACCCACCTCGCATCTAGAATTAAATGCAGAATTATCATGGCTATCATGTCACCTCTTAATCTTCATCAGGCTAAACATTCCCAGCTCCCTAAGTTGCTCCTCAGAGGGCAGGCCTCCAGACCTTTTACCATTTTCATCGCCCTCCTCTGGAGTCACTCCAGCTTGTCTATATTATCCCTCTTGAATTGTGGTGCCCAGAACTGGACACAGTATTTCACGTGAGGTCTGACCAAAGCAGAATAGAGTGGCACTAGGACTTCGCCTGATCAATCTAGACACTATACTCCTACTGATCCAGCCCATGATCATAATGCCTTTTTAGCTGCTGCATCACTCTGTTGACTCATGTTTAGCTTGTGGTCTACTAGAACTCCTAAATTCCTTTTGCATGTACTGCTGTCAGGCTAGGTGTCACCCATCCTATATCTGTGCATTTCATTTTTCTGCCTAAGTGCAGGACCTTACATTTCTCTGTGCTGAACTTCATTTTGTTAGTTTTGGCCCAGATCTCTAATCTTTTAAGGTTATTTTGAATTTTGATCCTGTTCTCTGATGTATTAGCGACCCCTCCTAATTTGGTGTCATCTGCAAATTTCATAAGCATGCCCTCTATTCCATCAAGAGGGAAGTACTCTTCTAAGAGGGTTCCTTCTGTAACACGTGCACGGTGTATTTTAAAAATGGTACATTGCCCTTTCAAATTATTGTTTATGGGCCAATTTAATTGATCCCTCTATTAGCACAGTCAAAACCAACCCAGATTTCATTAGTGAGGAGACAGCCTTTTAAAAGCTACAAGTTTTTCTTAGCAACTATGGGAAGAGGCAATGCTTGCTCACATGAGCTAGATGAGTTTCTGCAGTAGAATATATCCATTAAATTTGGATGTTATTAGGTAGATACCACCACAGTTCAATTAATCTTTGTTTCTTCCTCCTGGTGGACTGCATCAAAATAGACTTAACACAAGTCTCCCAGTCTCTTGTTAAAATGAGAAGCTGAGGATTAATGGTGAAAAGTGGGGGGAAAAGAATAAAACAATGAGTTGGTGATGCAATGGGCACATCTCCAGTTTTCTAAAGTACAACAAAATTATTGTTTTTGTGTGCCTTTAAGTTGTTTCTGACTTATGGCAACTCTAAAGTGAGCCTATCATAGGGGTTTTTTGGCAAGATGTGTTCATAGGAAGTTTGCCATTGTCATCCTCTAAGGATGAGAGCATGTAACTTGACTATGATCACCCAGTGGGTTTCATGGCAGAGTGGGAATTGAACTCTGGTCTCCAGAGTTGTAGTCCAACACTCAAACTAGTTTTCTAAAGAATGACAAAATAATCACCAACAGATACCCATTATTTTCTCCAATATAGAAGAAAATAACAGTCACAAAATGCACATCAGTTGTGCATTTGCTCTTTGTCATTTTGTTGCTGTTTAGAGGAAAAGAGGCAAACATTTGCAAGACAACACAGATTTTAGTCTCCCCAAATAGGCATGGAAGAAACCTAGTTGGCCTCACACCATGGATTGCACAAACTGGAAGATCCTGCCTCTTTTAATAGGAGCTACCAGAACATAGCTCAGTATGTTGCTACAGAATCTCTTCCTTGGCTTAATATTTACAATGCTGATTTAAATAGTATCCCTCTTATATAAACGTGCCAATGCACTGAGCTTACTTGATGGAAACATGCTCTGTCTTCTGCTACAGTTTGAGACTCAGGTGGTGGTTCCAAATTATAGAGTCTTCTCAATGGTGACTCCATTAGTTGCTGCTGCTCTTAGCTCCATTTTGCTTTGTGCCAATGCTTATATGATTACTTTTTAAAGCTATGTGCAGAATCTAACATTTTAATAGGAAAATGGGATGTAAATATTTTAATTAACTAACAGGTGTCCCTTACATTCTCTAACTGAAAAGGAAAATCAAATTGCATAAGAATTCTCCAGACCTTCCTTTTGAGCTTTGCAGTTCACCACCATCAGGTTTTGTTTTCCTTGCATTGACTTTCATGTTGTCACAAGCCTTGGCAAGAGTCAGCCCTGAACTGTCAAGATCACTGATAAGGAGAAAGAAATTCATAGCATCTGGAACCCATTTCAGCAAGTGATGGAGACTGGGTGAGGGTGCTGGAGCTGGCATTTTGATGGCACAGAGAGGACTTTTATCTGATCAAGCAGACTCAATACCCACTTCCCATCCTGGACTGATTTTATAGCCTTGACAGACCCCCATCAGTCAAAGACAAACAAGACTGAACTTGGCTCACAGGATCTGAGACAGTAAACTAACCATATGTTATCAACTAGTTATTAGACATTTTATTTATTTTATTATCTATTGGTTTATTTAACATTTTTATCTATCACCTCCTGACCTACCAGGGACCTGATGTGAGGCACAGCTCCAGTTCAGCTCCAGTAGAAAGTAGGAAATTCCTCTGAGGAACTGATGAATATGATGAAAAACCACTGTGCTCTTTCCAAGAGACAGGCAAATGGGCACATTTGGGGGGGAAGCAAAAACTGATGGATGACGCATGTGGCCTATGTGTACATAGCCTGGCATACAGACATCCTGTGTGAGATCCAGTGTAGTGTAGTGGTTTGAGTGTTGGACTAGGACTCCAAGAGACCAGGGTTCAAATCCCTGCTTGATCATGAAAACCCACTGGGTGATCTTGGGCAAGTCCCACTCTCTCAGCCTCAAGGAAGGCAAAACTCCATGACAGGTTTGCCTCAGGGTTGCCAAAATTCAGAAATGATGTGAAGGCACACAATAATACAACAATATTCTCAACTGTGGTTTGAGCAAGCATTTCAGACACCAATTTTCTATGATATGTTCTTTGTTTCCCTTCTCCTCTGTGCCCCTCTCTTCATCTGATGCAGGCTTTATAATTGCTTTGCTGTTCCTTCTGTTTAGCATCATCCTGCTTGCACTGCAACAGGAAAGCATCAAATGATTAAAAACAGAATCGGCTTTGCAGAAGAGTCCTCTGAGACACTTTGCTCAAAGTGCACACAAGCTGTTGCCCCTCAACAAGAACAACATGGCAAGTGCACAACTGGATACAAGGAGGGGCCTCCTGGGTTTTCCACAAGCAACTGCAGTCTTTTACACTTCCTTCCCATTCATTTTCATGAGTTAAACCTGGCACTGTAGGAGAAACCTACACTAAGAACAATACCTTCTCGCACCTCCCAATCTTTCTCTCATGCACGTATTCCAAATTCTGCAAAGACCCATAACAATACTGCATGTGGCACAATGTTGCATGACCTGAAACCATGAACCCAAAGCATAAACATGGAATTATCTCATTATTCTGATCATTTAACTTGAAATAGCTTAACAGACTATTTCTACTACAGATTGTTAAATTACATGCTGGAGGATATTTATCAGCTGGGCACACTGCCTGAGTTCAAAACAGCTGTAAAGAAAGGCCAGTCACTTTCCAGGCCTATCCAGACAATTTTTCAGTAATGAGTTTTAAAGTATGAACTGATTGATTTTAAAATATATTGGTTTTAATAATGCATTGGTTTTATATGCTCTTTTAACTGGTGCTATGTGTTTTAACTGGTGTTATGGGTCTACTCAGTTGTTGTATTTTAATCTACTGTAGTTTCCTTCCTTGTTGAGAAATAAAAACCAATGAATGTGTGTGAATGTATGTGCGTGCATGTGCCTTCCAGCTACCTATTGACTTATGGCAACTTCATGAATTTCATAATGTTTTCTTAAGCAAAGACTACTCACAGGTGGTTTTCCCAGTTCTTTTCTCTAAAATATAGCCTACAGAACCTGGTATTCATTGGCGGTCTCCCATATGAGTATTAACCAGAGCCAACTCTGCTTAGCTTCCAAGACCAGATAGGATCTGGTGAGCTGAGTTTAATAATATGCTTTTCACATCTGAAACATTAGGCTTTCCTCCTAATGTTTCGAAAGCAGTATATATTATTGTACTTCTATGTAGAACTTGAAAAAGTTACTTTGGAAAACTGTAACCAGAGTCTTCCAGCCAACAATGTCAGCCAGAGATTTTGAGAGATGTAGTCCCCCCCCCCAAAAAAAGCCAAAGTAATTTTCCTAATCTCTACTTAAGACTGAAATCCCTGACTACTCTGGATACTTCTTTTTGCTACAGAAAAGCTGTTTAAAAAATAATAAAGGAAATAGTGCAATCACATGGAGCCTTTGCACCAATTTGATTGTTGAGTTTGGTTATTAAATACACCAATTTGGTTATTAAGGTTCGTAGGACTTCCTTTCAAAAAAGTATGCACAAGACTGCATCAGGATCACACTCAAAAAGAGGTACTTCTCTTTTTGAAATTCTGAGGATCAATTTCAATGTGTGCTTTTTTTGCTCCCTTCAGCAGAGAAAGACCCTTGTGCAAATACAAGCTAGTCTTGCCAGAACTAACAAGCCCCTGCCTGTTTAGACCCACCCTTGATTCTGTTTAGACAAAACCAAAATACTTCTTCCAGGTAATGAGCAAAGACTTTAAGAACTTAAGCTTATTGTTCTGTCACTCCAAGAGGGGAAAAAAGTCTCCACCGTCTTTGGAAAGAGTGACTTAATGATTGGGCAAGTGACCAAAACTACACTTGGAGATCTTTCAAAAGGACACAAACATTGTCCATAGGACCCATCTGCGCATGAGCTCACAAAGGGCATGGAAATCATTTTGATGATGGCTTGGAAACATTTCATTTCTTTAAAGCTGAGATCACATGGGGAAGGGATGAGTGGTTTGGCTTATTATGAAAACCAGAGGAAAAACACTTCTGAGTCTAGCAGCTTTGTCTTAAGAGCATCACAAGTACCAGGATGGTTATGTCCCAAGTACCAAAGGGCATGAATGGTGGTTAGAGGGAAGAGAAAGTGTAATTCACATAGCAGGGAAGAAACAGATGGGGAAAAGTTTAGTTATTGCTTGATTCTAAAACCCTGGGTAATGAAGCTTGATGGTGGCACACTCAGGACAGACAAACAGAAGTATTTATTCACACAGTGCATAGCCACACTAGAAATCTATTCCTCAAGAGGTAGTGATGAAGCCACCAATGGTAACTGTTTTAAAGGAGAATGAGACAAATTCAAGAACAGCTGTAATACTCACGACTGGTATATGTTATAAGTGCTGTTGTATGTCTCACAATGCTACTGACTAAGAGACACACTACGCATTTATAGCACTTTGATCCCACTTTAACTGCCATAGTTTCATTCTATTGAATCCTGGGATTTGTAGTCTGGTGAGCTACTAGGACTCTCTAGCAGAGAATTCTAAAAATGCTTTCGTATACCCTGGAGACCAGGCTCAGTCTCTTCGCCTCAGAGGAATCAAGGGCAAACCCACTCTGAACAAGTCTCACCAAGAAAACCCTGTGATAGGTTTGACTTAAGCTCACTATATGTCACAAATGACTTGAAGGCACACAAGACCAAGCCTGCAAATCCTAGGATTCCATAGAATGTTGCCATGGAAGTTAAAGTAGAATCATAGAGGTGTAACTATATAATGTGGATGGGCTCTTGGTTTCTGGGCTTGTGAGCAGTCATTAGTTGGCCACAGCAGGAACAGAATGCTGGGCTAGGTAGGCCTTTGGTTTGATCCAACAGAGTTCTTATGAAAATTTAAACTTCAGTGTTCACTTAGCATGAAAGTTGCTTAGCAATAGGTTTTCCACAGGCAAAAGGAAACAGTTTGGGGAAGGAACACAGTTTCAGAGAATGAGGCATCTTTTGCACACAGAAGATTACAGATACAGCCCTTGGCATCTTCATGTAGGACTGGAAAAGTCCTGTGTCTGAAACCCTGGAGGTCAATGCAGAACAAGAGTGGGCATCCTTGGAGGAATATGAGCCAATACTCCACTTCTTACCCCCCCCCCAGTACAGACCATACCACCCTTGCCTGACAAAACCCAAAGTGAGTGGAAATCCACATTTTGTTTTAGAAATCCTTTTTAAAAACCCAAAGAAGGTGTATCAGTGGTGTTAGACTTGGTTTAAAGGGAAATTATGCTTCCTAGAGAACAATCCACAATGTTTTGACATACAACTGAGTGGTGATTTGGATTCCAGAGCCCGCATAAATGGGTGGGTAGGCTACATGTGGCCCACAGACTGTACATTGCCCACCCTGTGTCAAGCTAGATGAGCCACCATGATGTAGTGATTTGAGTGCTGGAGAGTCTGAATCTCAGTTCAAATGGAAACCCAAATTACCCTGGACCAGTCACACTTCTTTCAGTCATAGAGGAACTCCATAACAAACCTTATGAAGAAAGCCATATGAGTCAGTTGACTAGAAGGCACATGACACTAACAACAAAGCTAGATAAGCCCATCATCTGGGTCACTGTAAGATGGTTTCCTATGAAGCTAAGGTGTAAATAGGCTTTGGAAAGTCATAGTCATAGGGAGACCTGGTGGTGCAGTGGTTAAATGCCAGTATTGCAGTCACAAGGTTGTGAGTTCAATCCCAGGCAGGGCTCCAAGGTCCACTCAGCCTTCCATCCTTTCAGTAAAGGTCAGTAAAATGAGTACCAGCTTGTTGGGGACAACTGGCTTACACACTGTAAACAGCTTTGGGAGTGTTAGTTCACTGATAAGCAGTATAGAAGCAGTATAGCTATTGCTATAGTCATAACAGTGTTAGATTTAAGAACAATTAGACAAAATTATGGCACAAAAGTGTATCAGTGGCTATGCAGCAGGCATTAGAGAGAAATCAAACAATACTCTGAAGGCTCATGACCCAGCCACCTTGCTGAAGCTAAGGAGGTTTGAGTATGTTCAGTGCCTAGATAGTGACTGCCTGGAAACTCCATATTTGCCATCTTAATTTCTATTATGGCCACATAACGGAAGACAATATATTACTAAAAGGCTTCTAAATGGGTGGGTGGGCTACATGTTTTTTATGTTGGAAGCCGCCCCGATTGCTATGCAGGGGGGCGGGGTATAACATTTGTATTATTATTATTATTATTATTATTATTATTATTATTATTATTATTATTATTATCATTATTATTATCATTATTATTATTATTATTATTTTCTAATGAAGCTCACTATCAACTGGACATTGGAAACACATGTGGCAGCAGGTGGTGGCTTCCATTTCAGTAGGGCAGAGAATCCATTTCAGATTTTAGTTTGAGCTAACCTCCAAATAAGTAAGTCCCTTGGATACTCCTTTAGAGATCGTATTAAAACCCAGAGAAGATTCCTTACATCACCGACATGAAAGCCATCAGCTGCCACTGGACATACCTGTATAACCCATTTGGATTACTGTAACATGCCCTATGTGGGTCTGCCTTTGAAGAGTGTTCAGAATCTTCAGGGCCTTTGCAGACTGCCAGAAATAGTGCAAATTGAGTCCACTTTAACTGCTCTGACTCAGTGCTAGGGCATCATGGGAACTGTAGTTTTTTCTGAGACATTGAGACTTCTCTGTCAGAGAGCTCTAGTACCACAATAAACTACAGTTCCCATGATTCTCTAGCACTGAGTCAGGGCAGTTAAAGTGGACTCAATTTGCAGTCACTGTATTAACTGTGTCTGGTTACAGAGATCATACATAAGTGTTGAGTGTGTGCTATATCTTATAGATTAATATTCCTCAATTTT